TTTGTTCCCCAGCCACAGTGCACCGTCTTTCGTGCAGTCCCTGGCTAGTAGGGTGATTTTGGGGTTAATTCTTACGTCCTACCACCACTCGGGAATCTCCAAGCTGTGTCGTCTGTGCCGTTAGGGTCGCTCAGTCTGCTGCCAGACCGCAGCTCCGTGTGTCTCCTTTTTTGGTATTTTCACACAAATTCTTCTGGTAGTTGGGGTTTAGTCCACTTATGTATCCTTCCCTTCAAGGCTCAGGGGTCCAAGATTATCTTCTGTGTCTATGTTAATTGGTTTCCCTTTTCTTTGTTGAAGAGCGTCTGTGCATTCCTTGTGCCTAGTCCGCCATCTTGCCAGAACTCCTTCTTTTCTAGAATAACTTTGTTCCTAATCTGTTTTGAGTACCTTTATGTTCAGCCTTGGTTATTCTTTTTTTAATCCCCTCTAGGAAGTAAGAAGAAAGAAAAGGAAAGGCCAGAAATTTCTCCTCCATCTGATTTTGAGCACACCATTCATGTTGGCTTTGATGCTGTTACTGGAGAATTCACTGTAAGTTTACCTAGTTGGGGCTCATTTGTGGGTGCTCAGACCTTTCCCTTCACTATTGAGTTCGAAGTTATCTTTTCTATTTTTGTTAATTGAATGCTGCCTGCTTATTTACTTTTTATAAAAATGTGGTTGGATGAATCTTTTTCCCTAGGGATGCTGAGCTAATTTATTATAATTATGCAAAATAGGTTTAAGGAAAAAGGGCCTTTTAGAATTTAGTCAAGCCTACGATTGTGTACATTGATTTTTCTCATGTATGTTGATAGTTATCTCTGGAAATTGATTTTAGTAGAACAATTCTAAAAAAAAACCTAGTTTTGGAATATCTTGTTCATAGGGCATGCCAGAACAGTGGGCTCGATTACTGCAGACCTCCAATATCACCAAACTAGAGCAAAAGAAGAATCCTCAGGCTGTACTGGATGTCTTAAAGTTCTATGACTCCAACACAGTGAAGCAGAAGTACCTGAGTTGTACTCCTCATGGTAAGACATCAGATAATGGTGAAAGGCTCATTAGATGGCATTCTAGTGAGTGTTGTGAGGCACTTCTAGATAAAAAGATTGTCTCTGGAAAAATAAAAAGCTTGGCTATACTTCTTGTCTTTGTTTTTCCCCCTGTATACACTCTGCCTTTTGTAAACTTCTTGGGATAGCTCTTGTGTATAATTTGGGTTCTGGGGATTACATTAACCTAGTTTTGTTTAAAAAAAAAAAAAGGAGTTCATGGATTTTTTTTCTGATTTCCATGTTGCTTTGAATGACTTCTAGCAATAGAAGAGGAGGATGCTGATACATAGTAGAAATAGATTGTTGGATGAAGGTTGTTTTCCTGTGTAAATGCACAGACTTTGAAATAGAAATATGTTTAAGTCCATTCAAAAATTGAAACATCAAATATACAAATGAATAAAATAACATAAAAGGATTTACACCTCAGAGCTGAAATATTAAAAAATAGTTTGTTTGTTCTAATTCAGTCCAAAACTCAACCCACTGCTATTGAGTAGATTTTGACTCATGCCGTCCCTGTGTGTTACAGAGTACACCTGCTCCACAAGGTTTTCTTAGCTGTAATCTTAATGGATGCAGATCACCAGCCCTTTCTGCTATGGTACTGCTGGGTGGGTTCAATCCACCAACCCTTTAGTTAGTAAATATATCCTTAGGAAAAGGTCAGACTTGTCTCTGGAATTTCTGAATCAACTAGTAAGCCTATGGAAATTATTGAGGTTTTTTAAAAATCAACGTTGTCCAGGAAATAGTAGATTATTTTCATCTAGTAGGACCCCAGGTGGTAGTGTTAAGCACTAAGCTGCTAATGGAAAGGCACTAAGCTGCTAATGGAAAGGATAGTAGCTAAACCCACCACCACTCTGTGGAAGAGAAATAAGGCAGTCTGCTTTCTTGCAAACCCTAATGGGGCATTTCTACTCTATGCTGTAGGGTGGTTGTGAGTTGGAATCACAGCAATGAGTTAATTGTTTCTCTTTTGTTTTATTTTGTTTTCATGCAGTATATACATTAAAGTCTCTCAGCATTTAAAAAACAAAAGAAAACTTGTTCTTTAAAACTCCAGAATGAATATTTTTGCATTGAGTCTTTAGTAATTGCCTTCAGCAATTTGCTTTTTTCTTGATGGAGATTTATGTGAAGAATTTTATTTTGCATAGTTGACATTTTCTGAATTCTGTACGTTCCTGTTAGGGAATTTTCTGGAGACAGATTTTGTGAATAAACTTCTGTTTTTATTTTAATAAATTCATATTGACAGGTACATTTTATTATACACTTTCAATGTAAAATTTTTATTGAGGTATAATTTACATGCTATAAAATTCATCCATTTTAAGTGTATGATTCCATAATTTTTAGTAACTTTACAGAAGTCCATTTAAGATTTGATATTCTTAGTCCTTGGCCTTGTATAAAGTATTCCTGATTGAATACTTGTATTGTAATTTTTCTCAGTATTCAATTCAACTTAAAATGAAATCAGTCTAAGAACATTTTACTTGCTCTGCTTTTTTTTTTTTTTTCTTTTTGCCCTTTTATCATATAGAAGTTGTTTTATTTCTTGAATTAACTTAACATTATTTTATGTTTCATATTCAGAGAAAGATGGCTTCCCCACCGGAACACCAGCAGTAAGTTAATACATTAGTTCTTGTAGCTTTTGGTTTAATTTAAGTTACCCACAACAAATCTCAGTTTTTATTTCTTTCTCTAAAATAAATTGTAGCCATCAGAAATAAGTAACTATATAATTTATGTGTTTAGCTAGCCACTTTATTAGTTGAAGAAGTCATATTAAGTAAGTAGAATTTCTTTGATAAGATACTTAAAGTAACTAAAATTTATAAGGACCTTTAGAGCAATTTAAGTGTCTCAGGAATGTTTTCACATAAAACATGAATACAAGGAACTTGATAGCATTCTCCTCTTTCTTCTTGCCTGTCCTCCTTCTGATAGCATTCTGTTGAATATAGGCTATAGACACACACTGGGCAGTTGAAAATTGTCAGTCTTATGAGTTGTCTGAAACCTTGTCTGGGTTATCCTTTAAGCCCAATTACCACCTGGAAAGAGTTGTGTTTTATTTTCAATTCCTCAGTTAGGAAGAAACAGTCTTCTGGAATTACATGAGGACTACATGTAAAGGCTTTAGCTGGCATATACTTGGCATATAATAAGCTGTTCTTACAGGTTAATTCTTTCCCCTTTTTTTTCCACTAGCCATCACCTTTTCTGGTGAATCTGGCTATTTTAAATGACCCCAAACCACTTTGACTTCTACAGACCCCAGAAGATCTTTGTTTTTGGTCTTTTATTAACAAATGGTTTACTTTCAAGACAATGTATATGTGTGTGAGCTTATTAGTAGTCCTTTCTTAGGAATATTTTATATTTGCCATATAAATTTATTTCATAAACTTACTTTGCCTATACAACTCTTATATAGGATTTTCTTTACTTTAAAAATAATTAGATTGGAGCAAGTGAGGTTTTATCAATTTGAAAGGAACTGTTAAATCCATTTTCTTAAGTAGTGATATTTTAAGTTACTGTTTTTCTTTTTCTTTGACTTGTCTTCCTTACTTTGCTCATGTGATAAATGCAGCTGAATACCAAGGGTTTAGAAACATCCACAGTAGTAACAGAGGAAGATGATGATGATGAAGAGGCTGCTCCTCCTGTCATTGCCCCACGACCAGATCATACAAAATCAGTAAGTGTTTAATCAGTGAACTAGCTGTGTTTGTGCATGTATGTTTTGAAATCAGCAGTCTGTATTTGACATTAAATGATTTCTAATGATTATTTTTTTTAAAAGCTCCCAGACTTAAAATATTTTAATATAGTAAAACATAACTAGGAGATCTTTACTTCAGGATGACTTATCAAAAAATAAGCTTTTCTTCTCTTTCTAAATTACACCTTCCATTTTAGAGAGTCTGTTTTTCTTGCTTTCTCTGTGTATCTCAGTGCATATATCTACTATATCTAAAACTTAGATCTTAATCTCTTACTCAGATTATGTACTATAGTATTACATCTACTATGTTAAATTTTTCTCAAAGCCTCAGGTCATTTAAGAGGCTGCTGAGAATGAAATTCCTCAACAGCTAGTGGAGAAATTTAACAATCAAGCCTGCAGATGGAGATAGAGGAGAGGAGCTCTTATGAGTCTTGTCCTTCTCCCTGTACTAATACTAGTAAAGGTCAGGCCAGGTTCTGTGCAGTGGAGTGTGATGAGTTGGCAGCACAGTTGAAGCTAAGGCTTTGAGGACTGCATTAGATCCTGAGCTCATGTTAGAAGGTTCCATTGTCTTTACCCTTTAGAACTAATTGTTTGAAATGAAATGGTAGAAATGATATTCATATAAAAACTAATTTCTCTTGTGTAATAAAACCATGATTTTTAAACTTGTCCTTCCTTTTGCTACATTTTTTAGCATGTCATAATATATGATGTACCAAAGAAAATGTGCTTTCATATTTCTTCTACATGTCTTTTATAGCCCGATAATACTATGCTCATTCTTCAGAATGGTGGAAAAGACAACTTAGTTTTGCTTAAAAATCGACTCAGTAGTGTTCCAGTAAGCATATCTGAAAATATTTTTCCTCAAATCTCAGTAATGAGCTTTCTCTCTGCAGATTTACACACGGTCTGTAATTGACCCTATTCCTGCACCAGTTGGTGATTCTAATGTTGATAGTGGTGCCAAATCTTCAGACAAACAGAAAAAGAAGACTAAGATGACGGATGAAGAGATTATGGAGAAATTAAGTATGTTGACTATATTTTGCATTATTCTTGACGTGTTAGCAGCTCTTAAAACACTTGACTCAGGTGGATTTTAATTCATACTATATATTTTGGCTTAATTCATAAAGAATAAATTGTTTAAAATAATAATAATAATGGTTTTCTTATAGGAACAATAGCTTAAACTAAAATCTAGAGAAGCCAAAATGATACTCTTCTTTGCTTGATTAATAGTCCATTTGAAAGATAGCATGTGTTGACTAGTGAGCAATGTCTCTGCAGGAGTAAGTACCTTTGGAAACAGAACTTTTTCCACTGAGGCCAAGTCTAAAGGACAGTAGTTGGAAATAGTGTAAGAGGAGGTTTGTATACATTCATGCATGCTTATAGGATTTCTGTGAGTTGGAATTGATTCGATGGCAGTGGGTTGGGTTGAATTGGGTTTATAGCTTCTCAGTAGGAACCTACAAAATGTCCCTAAATAATGAAATAGAACTTCCTGTGTAGATATGTGTATAGACATAAAATCTATTCCAGGGAAAATATTTTCTCTCTTTGCCCTTTTAATCTGTCACTTATCATTGGCCTAGATAACAAGCATTGGAAATAATGTACACAGTGCCAGGGAGAGGGTAGTGATAATATCTGACTACAAATCCACTCAAGCTATAGTTTGAAGATAAAGACCACTAACCTAGAAAGGTCAAACAAAATTACTTGACAAATGAGTTCTTTAAAACATTTATATTCTGTGCATTTATTTGCTCTTGAATTCTCAGTGCTTTTGATTACAAGGATGCTTTTACTCTGGTATTGTCTACCGCTCCCACCAGTTGGCAATGAGTCGATTCAACTCATGGGGACACCATGCGTGTCAGAGTAAAAGTAGGCCCCGTGGGTTTTTCAGTGGCTGGTTTGTTGGAAGTAGATCACTATGATTTTATGTCCAGCATCGTGATTCTAAAACCTGTCCCTTAGCCTTGACTTTGTGGACTTGCCTAAAACAGATGTTTGATTAGTTTGTATTAGAATAATCTTTATAGTAATCAGTGCTTTCCTAAATATATTGAAAAAAACAGGCTGTGCTTGAAGAGTCGGAAAAGCCATTTAGAATTTATCCTTCATTTTTATTTCTGAAGTAAATAGTGTGTTGTTTTTCAAACATATTATCTTTGAAACTTAATACTATATTTTAAAACTAGTATTCTAAAACTGGTGGTGCTTATTAAAAGAAATAGTGATAACAAAATTAATTTACAATTTCAAAATGCTTGACTACACTTCCAATTTTTGTTGTTGCTTAAAATAGGAACTATTGTCAGCATAGGTGACCCCAAGAAAAAATATACAAGATATGAAAAAATTGGACAAGGGTAAGTATTTGTGATTGTGCTACATGTTACCATAATGTTCAATCTTCTAGATGTACCACATAATGTCTCTGTGATCTGTTGACCTTGAGCACTTAACATAGACTAGGAGCAATACCCTTGGGGATTTGTGGAAATTAATAATAATAATGCAGTTATTTCTAGGTACTGTTAAAAAGAAAACTGTGCTAGTTATAGTTAGTTTTGATTTTACATTACCATTTCTTTTTATGTATCATTACTCCTTGGCAGTAAGGAGTTAGATGGATGCAAAATTGTCTACAAAATTTATTTTAAAGGTAATATACTGCTAGATTATATGCAGTGAAAATACAGTCTAATTATATCATTATATCTTGATCTTTGATTCTACTAATCCTCTGATTTTTGTCCAGTAATTGGTATTTTTAAAGTTCACTATGTGAACTTTTTTTTCATTGCTTGAGAGTAGGAGCTCTGGTAGCATAGTGCCTAAGGCACTTGACTGCTAACCAGAAGGCTGGTGGTTCAAATCCACCAGCCACTCCTCAGAAGGAAGGTTGGGCAATCCTACTTCCGTAGTGATACTGCCTCGGAAACCCAAGGAGGGGATAACAACAACAATGTGAACTTTTTTTTCATTGCTTGAGAGTTGTCTTAGTTATCCACTGCTGCTATAACAGAAATACCACATGTGGATGGCTTTAACAAACAGAAATTTATTTTCTCACAATTTAGGAGGCTAGAAGTCAGAATTCAGCGTGTTAGCTCTAGAGGAAGGCCCTTGTCTCCTTCAGCATCTGTGGGCCTGGTGTTCCTTTGCGATCCCCCTATGTCTTGGCATCAGTCTTTTCTTGGATGCAGGAGGTCCTCAGCACAGGGACCCCGGGTGATTCGCTCATGGCTCTTCTTTCTTGGTGGTGATCAGGTCCCTCCATCTATACTTGCTTCTCTGTCCTTGTAAATAAAAGTGTGACTTAAGGAGAGGTGTAATTGTGTCACATCCTCTTGTAAGTCTGTGAATCAAGGATACATACCTTACACTGATCTTGTCTCATCATTCTGTAGATTTATAACACATCATAGAATAATGGAGGACAGCCATACAACACTAGTATTCATGGCCTAGCCAATTTGATACATATTTTTGGGAACACAATTCAGTCTATGATGGGAAAATGACCACCTTGAATTTTTTATTATTACTAATCTTTGAAAAGAGTTGTGTGAATTTAAAAAAAAAAACTTTAACCTTTTTTGAAAACTTCCTTAAGAATTTCTTTTTAAAACTAAATTCTATTGCAGCATTGATTTTAATAGCAGAAGAATAGAAAATGATCTTAATATTCATGAGCATGATAGTGGATAAATTATAGTATGTTCTTATACCCAAAAAAAAACAAACTCATTGCCATCGAGTCGATTCTGACTCATAGCGACCCCCTTTGGGTTTCCAAGGCAGTAAATCTTTACGGAAGTAGATTGCCCAGTTATCCTTCTCCTGGTGGGTTTGAACTACCAGCCTTCTGGTTTGCAGTCAGATGCCTTAGGCACTGTGCCACCAGAGCTCCTTATATATTTTTGTAGCAGTGGAGATAAGTAAATAAGAATAACATTTATCTCTGTGGAAGACCACAGATAGAATGTTGAATCAGAAACCAAATTACTGAAAAATACATATAAGTGAAACCATTTATACGAAGTTAAAAATTATTCTAAGCATATTTTGTAGGAAACGCAGCTATGTCCTGTGTAATTAAAGTATAGGGAAATGCATGGAAATGGTGCACATCACATACAGGATCACCATCAAAGTTAGATTACCTTTGGGAAGAGGGATAATGCCATCAGAAAGGGCACATAGGAACCTTCGAGTGTGTTTTTAATGCTTTACTTCTTAAGCTGGAAAGTGAATACATGGATGTATATTACATTTTTCTTTATACCTTTTTGTAGTTCTGAAATATAACAGTTTTCTAACATTTTTGCTACAAGATTGCCTCTCTTTTTAACTTTTAATTGTTCTTTACTCCTTCTTTAGTTGTTAATTATAAAGTATTTGGATATGAAAAATGAGTGATTTGGAAACCTTAAATCTGATATATCTCTTTTCCTTCTAGGGCTTCTGGCACAGTTTTCACTGCTATTGATGTCGCATTGGGACAGGAGGTAGCCTTTTTTCCATATTTTTCATATTTCTGGGTTTTATTAAAGTAGCATTTAATACAGGAGGAAAGTAGATAAAGCTGAGAATAATCAGTAGAAATCTTTTCTTAAGTTGAGTATGTCTTAAGAAATGCTCTATATAATTTTATAGCGTTTCTCTCAGTTGAGGGAAACAAAGAAGGAATTATGAGTATAGTTTCCTAAATAAAAAAATCTGTTAAATCCTCTTCCCAGCTTAGAATGGAAAGAGGATTAATTCCTGGTGCTAGGCTGACATTGTGTTGGTCAGTCAGCTTCAAGATAAATCTAAAAAATATTTAGACTCTATGTATTGCAAAGCATTGTACACAGACACTATGGAAGTAAAAGTACTGTCTATGGGTAAGTTATAGTCTCTTGTAGAATACAGTATATATACAGTAAATTATGAACTGATTAGTGTATGTGATTTTCTAAAAGAATCCAAAAACTTGTTCTGAATTGTTTAAATTTGTGTTTCCATTACAGGTTGCTATTAAACAGATAAATTTACAGAAACAGCCCAAGAAGGAATTGATCATTAATGAGATTCTGGTAATGAAAGAATTAAAGAACCCCAATATAGTTAACTTCTTAGACAGGTAAATAATGAATATTTCTAAAATGTAAAAATAAAAATGTATATTTTAAGTTTCACAGTTTGGGAAACTAGTCACTTAAGTTAAACTAGAATAGAGTATCAATGCTGAGAATTAAGCTTAAAGGAGAAGGAAGAGAGAGAAAATAACACATTGCAGTTTAGCAGGTCCTTTTCCTGTCATTCAGCAAGTGAGAGAAAACAAATAAATAGTGGTTATTGCATATTTATTACAAATGATCAAAAGCAGAAATGATAAACAATGTGATTTATGTCTTGATTTGAGAGCGAGTGACCAGCCACACAGTTCTTAAACTTTTAGATCAGTTTTTTATTTCAAATGCTGTCCATCTTGGGCAAGTAGTATGTATAGTAAAACCTCATTTAACTTGGGAATTGATATCAAAAAGCAGAATAGAATATTATGTGTGTTATTACAACTGTTTTTTTTTTTTTGTTTGTTTGTTTTTTTAAGCACCTCGTGTATGTGAGTGGAAGAAAAATAGAAATAAATAAAAATGAGAATAATGGTTATATTGGAGAGAGAGGATGGGTAATTTTCTTATTTCCATACATAAAGTTGTTTAGAATGGGAAAATATATAATATCTTTTTAGAATTTAGCCCTAGTTATTCAGACAACCATGTTCATAGAAAATATATTTTCCAGGTACTTGAAGATTTAAACCAAATTTTACCTGTTCCTAATTTTTAGTTGGGCATGACACTTCATCTTTCTGAACCTGTTTATATGCTAAAATGTGAAGCCTAATCTATGTCTGAGGAGCTCTGGTAGCATAGTGCTTAAGGCACTTGCCTGCTAACTAGAAGCTGTCGGTTCAAACCCACCAACCACTCCTCAGAAGGAAGATGGGGCAATCTACTTCCTTAGTGTGATATGCCTTGGAAACCCAAGGAAGGGTAGCTGTGAGCCATGGCACATAACAACAACAACGAGAAGCTTGGTGATTAAGATAAGCCATAAACCAAAAAACTAAGCCACCAAGTCTGTTCTGACTCATAGCACCCCCATTGGTTTTCAAAGGTTATAAATCGTTGTGGAAGCAGACTGCCTCATCCTCCCGCAGAGTGACTGGTGGATTTGAAATGCTGAATTAGCGGCCAGAGTATCTTACCCACTACACCACAAGAGCTCCTGAAGATAGCCATAGGCGTTGGAATCATTCGTACTTAAATTAACTTCAGATGCTGGTTCTGTCACTTTCCAGCTATGTGACCTTTGATGAGTAACTTCTCTAAGCTTCGGTCTCTTTCTCTGTAAAACAGGACTAAAAATTCCTACCTTATAAAGTAATTTTAATTGAAACAATCTATATAAATACTCAATTGGGAGCACAATTTAACTTTAAAATCATTAAAGGTAATCATAATGACTATCAGTTCTTTTTCTTTACTGTTAACATAACTTCTTTCCCATTTTCATCCTAGCTCTCCAAGCCTCAATTTTGTTATTAAAGTGCCTAGCATTTGAATTCTTCCAACTTCTGATTAGCTATTTTTGATTTTATCTGAATGATCAGATAACCAGGATTGTTAGAATGTTGTGTGAATTGCCTCTGAACTCAGGGTACTTGACTCTGTGTCCTTATCAGCAGTGGCCTTAGAGCTTTCTGGCAGCCCTTTGATTCGTCTAGAGGTCTGTTTAGGAGCTCTGGTAGTGTAGTGCCTGAGACATTTGACTGCTAACCAGAAGGCTGGCGGTTCAAACCCAGCAGCCACTCCTCGGAAAGAAGGTTGGGCAATCTGCTTCTGTAATGATACCCAAGGAGGGGTCACTGTGAGTCAGGTTCAACAGCAGTGAGTGAGTGAGTGAGAGTTCTGTTTTGTTTACCTTGATCTCCTGGCAAGTGGGCTCTCACTATAGCTTGTGCTATCCATTTTTAAATAACTTGTCCTTGAATTTTATTGATTTAACTAAACTTCAGGGATTGGCATAGAGAAAGGAATGATTTCTCTTAGAAAGAAATATTAATTTAGATGGCTTTTATTGAAAATAGTCAGTAGAATTAATGTTGGCAGTGAAATTCTTCAACAGTGTCCAGTGTTTAGAAAACGTAAAATTGTGAGTGTATTTTTTGTGTTCTGTTTTTAGTTACCTGGTGGGAGATGAATTGTTTGTGGTAATGGAGTACCTGGCTGGTGGGTCACTTACTGATGTTGTAACGGAAACCTGCATGGATGAAGCACAGATTGCTGCTGTATGCAGAGAGGTCGGTTTGCTCCATTTCTGATAAAGTTGTGGTGATGTGGGTTAGCAAAAGATGGAAAAAAAGGAAAGTTTTTCTGTACAGGTAATGTTTATTGTGTGAGATACTTTCTGTGGACACATTCTCTTCAAGGTATCTCCATACCATTTCATCCTACATGTGAGTTCCCTGCCCTTTCCTCCACGTGTCAGATAATTTTGGAAGTAAGGATCTATGAAAGCCCTGTTCACAGATCAGTTTCGGTAGAGGGTGATCATTATAATTTATCATCCCAACCAAAACACTTTTGTGAGTAGAAGGGATTGTTATTAAAAATACTCCATTCACCAGTGGAAATTAGGACTATCCCAGGCAAAGCAGGACACTTGTTCACCTTATATTTCAATAAGTCTGCTTCTGGCTTTATTGACTTCACTGACGGTGAAGAAACCAGTTGATTCTTTATATTAATTAATGAATTTCTGGACAACAGTTTACTTAAACCAGTAGAATTCTATCAATTTGCTCTAAGTCAAAAACAAGCCTTCTTTCCATTGAATCTTTTTCTACATTTCAGACTTAAGTTAATGTTTTTCTTAATGTCGTTGATAACTACTTCTAATATCAAGGAATCATTGTCACAAAGGCCAAAATTGTAAAAGTTTATATAAGACTTGTATTTTCAGTTAGTTGGCATTCAGCAATTCTACAGTGGCACATAAATGACTTACAGATTTTTTTCATGTAACAGTATTTACACGTTAATGTTTGCCTTTTTCAGAAAGCTTTTATTGAGGTGTTTTAAAAAATGTATTCTTTGACTTTTTTGTCTGAGACCTGTGCTTTATGTATATTTAAATGGAGGAGAAAGTCCTGCAAGCCCCCTCCCCTTTTTTCCCTTGACTTTTTATTGTGATTTGGGTGAAAGTGAAAATTTTTAGTTCGTTGTGCTCCTTCTTTCGGGGAGAAGAATGTAAGAACTGGTATTTAATAGTCATGAATATGATAGTCCCTAAAAAAGAATGTTCAGTGACTTATAAACTTAACAAGAATTTATCTATTTACACTTTTTTTGCTTTTCTAATTTTTTTCTAGAATTGATAATAAAATTAATTATTTTAGGAATTTCTCTAATTGCCATTAACTTGAGTTTTCTTCCATACACGAAAATAGAAAATTTGTGAAACTTGTTTCTATTTATTTGTGAAAGTATTTTTTAGGGATTGTTCTTTTCTGAAATCTGCTTAATTCCTGGAAAATACAGTGTGATAATACATAGGTCATCTGTTTTTTCCTTGAATGAATATAAAAATACTTTGAAATTTTTAGTTATTATAAATGATAGGCAGACTACTTGTTTTACTCTGATGGGAATAAGACATAAAAACACAAGTAATTTTTTCCAGCTTTACGATTTATGCTTGCAGCTGATGCTTGAAAGCATAGGGGCAAGCACAAAACGCTGGAGGAGCCTAGAAATTCTATATACCCCCATTATTTTAGAACTTAGAACATGGGAGACTGACATCTTAGGGTTTCAGTTAATCAGTGGCAGAGATCTGACTAGTTCATAATCTTCTCTGAATTTAGACTCATATACACAGAACACAGAATTAGAAGAGTCAGATTTGGAAAAAGGACATATTCGTAGAATGAATAAGTCGCCCTTTTTCTATAGCAGTGAGCCACAAAATGCCATTATACCTCTTGCTCTTCCCCGAATCTTTAAATTTACTTTGATAGTGTCGTGCTTTATAATTCCAAAGGCTATAACCAAAAACCAAACTCACAGCCATGGAGTTGGGTCCAACTCATAGTGATCCCTCCTTGGGTTTCCCAGGAGTATCACTATGAAAGTAGATTGCCCAGTCTTCCTTCCAAGGAGTGGCTCATGGTTTTGAACCTCCATCCTTCTAGTTAGCAGTCAAATACATCAAGCACTACATGATCAGAGCTCCTTCCAGAGTCTTTAGTATTTAACAGTATCGTAAAGTCAGAGGGTAGAGAAGAGGAAAATAATTAATTAAGGCATCTTATATTCGTAACTTTGCAAATGAGAGGATATTTTTTCTTTATTAAACTGCCTTCTGTAAACTATAACTATTGAATATGAGCCTCCCTTAGACTTGCCAGGGGCTATTTCATTGATAGGTGTTTTTCTTCTGTTCAGTGTTTACAGGCACTGGAGTTTTTACATGCTAATCAAGTGATCCACAGAGACATCAAAAGTGACAATGTGCTTTTGGGGATGGAAGGATCGGTTAAACTTAGTGAGTAATAGATGAACAAATAATATGTTTATCTTATAATTTCCTGCCTTTTTGTTTAATTAAATGAGACAATTCTGCTATTAATGTTTTTATGCTTTAATATATGGTGGGGACGGGAGTGTAGTAGTAGTAAAGAATATGGACTCTCAAACTGGAGAGTCTTGGTTTAAATATCAGAACTGCCACTACTTGCTGAGTAATTTTGGGCAAGTTAATCTCATTGTGTCTGTTTCTTCATTTGTAAGATAAGGAAACTAATAGTATCTGTCTCTGAGAATTCTTCTGAGGCTTAAAAGTCTGAAGCACTGAGGAACAGTACCTAGAGTGTCCCAGTGATGGTGCTGTATTTTAGAGGTGAACTTGAATTTGTCTCTGTGGTCTGTTAGATATTTTTTTCATGCTATTCAGCATTTTTTGGATTCTGTAGACCATGGCCTAATTAGGGCTATGTGACCCTGACCTCTGGAATGATGAGGGAAAAAGATCCCAAATAAACCACTTTCTATAATAAATCATCTATCTCAGACAAGGCATAGTCATTAGGGGGGAAAAAAAATCTTTATACTGCACTGGCTATACTCTGTTTCATTTCTAACCTTCCCCCTGGAGGAGTCAAAAGGAATACTTTTTGAGGTTTCTCTAAACCAAAAACCAAACCCACTGCCTTCAGGTCAGTTCCTACTCTTAATGACTCTAGGCCATGGAAACAATGCCACATAGAATTTCCAAGGCTGTAAATCTGTAATTACAGACTACCTCATCTTTCTCCCACAGAGATGCTGGTGGGTTCAAACGGCCAGTCTTTTTCTTAGCATCCCAATACTTTAACCAGACTGCTGCCAGAACTTTTCAGATGTTCAAAACTCAAGACATTTCTTAGATCAAGAGATGTCTTAGTTATATAGTGCTGCTATAATAGAAATACCACAAGTGGATTGCTTTAACAAACAAACATTTATTCTCCCATAGTTTAGGAGGATAGAAGTCCAAATCCTGGGCGCTAGCTCTGGGGAAGGCATTCTCTTTCTGTCAGCTCTGTGGGAAAGTCCTGTGTCCTTTCAACACCTGTGAGCCCTGTGTCCCTTGGAGATCTCTGTGTGTCTTGGCATCAGTCTTCCCCTGGATCTAGGAGGTTCTCAGAGCAGGGACCTGGGTCTTAAGAGCACTACCTCACTTCAGCTCTTTTTTCTTGGTAGTAGTCAGGTCCCTCCATCTCGGCTCAATTCTCTCTCCTTTTATTTCTTATAAGATAAAATGTGATGCAGGCCACCCCCCAGGGAAATGCTGCTTACAGGGCTATGACCTGTTTAAGGATATTGTATCTCACCCTGATCCCCTTATAACTGATTATCTGATCATATCATGGGGGGGGCGATAATAACATCATTACATAACTGCCAAACCACTGAGAACCATGGCCTAGCCACACTGATGACACACACTTAGGGAGGACACAGTTCAGTCCTGACAAGGGACCAAAAACTTGTTCTTCCTTCTGCCAATGGCTTTGACTCCTGCTGCAACATTTCTTTTTTAAGCTACACCCTCCAAAGTTTTTCATCCACAAGAAAGGAGGTATATAGGTTCTTTGAGATAGTCAAGTATAAGATTAGTAATCTTAAAATATTTTTAGTGGGCAAGTTAGAAATGTGCATTCTCATACATTTATGGTAGAAACAAATGTAAAGTGAATTAGACTTGTTTTGGTTAACAGTTTGACCTGGCTCTACCGCTTATTAGATGAATCACCTCGGGCAAGTTATTAAAAAATATGTATACCTCGGTATTCCCATTTGTATGATGGAAATGTTGACAGATGTACACATTTCATAGGATTATCAGGAGAAGTAGATATGTTCATTTTTATAAAGCACTTTAGAACAGTGCCTGGTGTGTTTTAGCTGTTAATACTGTTATTTGAGCCAATGATTGTTCCTTTAGGACTCAGTTCTGTAGAATTACTGTACAAATAAATATACAACAATAAGTACAAGGATGTTGTCTGGAACATTGTTTGAAAAAAGAGGAAAAATGGAAAAAGTCCTAAATGACAAGCGATTAGGGAATGGTTAAATAAATTATGATATTTTTATATCCTGTAATATTTTCTAGTTATAAAAATGAGGTAGATCAATGTGGTAATATGGAAAGATCTCTGAAAGTCAATTCCTTTTTTAAAAAGGATAGTTTACAGAATATCTTCTTTAGGCAAAAGAAACCAAAAGACGGATGATAACAAATAAGTAGTATTTGTGCATAAGTGAGTTCATAACAGAAGGTCTAAAGTTTATACCTAATTGTTAGCAATGGTTATATATGAAATAGAAGGAGTTTCACAGTGGAACAGAGGAAAAGTTCTAGATACAAATCCTGACTTTTCCATGCAATTTACATTGGGTACTAACCTTTTACATCCCGCTTCTCAGTTAAAAAAATAAAGTTGTTGGAATAGATCAGTGCTGGTGATGTCTTCATACATAGATCATAGTTAATGCATTGTTTTTCTAGGCTTGCTTCTAAGTTGGGATGCTTAATGATTCTAGCTTTTCTTTGTTTTATTCAAAAGTAGTTTCTACTTCCTGACTTTTGCCAATTTACTTCATTTAGTCACTTTTGGTGACTTTTTCTTCTATACCGCTTTCCATTTTATTAATTTCTCTTTTTCAGAATAGACGTTAAAAAAAAAGTGCTAATAATTTGCACTCTGCTCATGGGAAGTAAACATAAACAAGTGAGCGTATGTAACACCATCAAAATATTTTAAGCCCATTCTGATTTATTTTATTAATCAAATATTTATTTCTTAAAAAAAGAGGCTGAGTAATCAAAGTGTAATTATATTATGTAAACTCTTTTGATTAAGCAGTCCATGGAAACCATTAACTCTAGATGATTTCTTTTGTTTTATAGCCGACTTTGGTTTCTGTGCCCAGATCACCCCTGAACAGAGCAAGCGAAGCACCATGGTTGGAACGCCTTACTGGATGGCACCAGAGGTGGTTACGCGGAAAGCTTATGGCCCTAAAGTGGACATTTGGTCTCTGGGTATTATGGCTATTGAGATGGTAGAAGGAGAACCTCCATACCTCAATGAAAATCCCTTGCGGGTAAGACTGATTAAACACCAGACTTATTTTAAGGAAAATACTTTCCTTTAAAACATTCACTTAGAACCACCTTGTGCCAGTCACTGCCACAGATTTAGGATACAAAGTCTCTTCCTTATACTGAAATCATTTGTTTCTGGTTATTGACTCAAATAAGTCTGTTGTTGTTGTTGTTGTTATGTGCCGTCGAGTCAGCCCTGACTCATAGCGACCCCTCCTTGGGTTTCCGAGGCAGTATCACTACAGAAGTAGGATTGCCCAACCTTCCTTCCGAGGAGTGGCTGGTGGGTTTGAACCGCCAGCCTTCTGGTTAGCAGTCAAGTGCCTTAGCCACTATGCTACCAGAGCTCCCCAAATAAGTCTAGTAAAGAATTTAGAGAGTTTTAGTATGCTGTATGGTTTCTAATTTTGCATATAATTAACAACTTACTGACTTTTCTAGAGAAGTAAAGATTCCTCAGTATGCGTATCAGGTTATCAAGCTTTGAATCTTGGCCTCTACCCCAGGGTACAGAGAATAAGAAAAAAATGTTAAAGCCCATATTTAAACAAAGAAATGAGGATCCCAAGATATACATAAGGCCAGTGTACATTTAATACTATTCCAGAACTGAAGTGGAGAGTTTAGAGTTATTTTTTCTTTTCCTTTTAAATGACCATATACGGCTCAACGTTGATTACTAAGGAAGTACAAAACAAAACCACAATATGTTACTGCTTCATGACCCCTAAAAAGGTTATGGTCCAAAAGATGGATGATAACAGATGTTGGTGAGGATACGGAGAAATTTGGACCTTCATACATTGCTGGTGGGAATGTAAAATGATACAGATGTTTTGGAAAACAATTGCTGTTAGATGCCATCGGGTCAATTCTGATTCATAGCCACAGGAGGAAACACTGCCGGGTCCTGTGCCATCCTCACAGTCATTGCTGTGTGTGACCCCATTGCTACAGCCATTGTGTCAATCCATCTTATTGAGGGTCTTCTTGTTTTTCACTGACCCACTGCTTTACCAAGCACAATGTCCTTATCCAGTGGCTGGTCCCTGCTGATAACATATCCAAAGCACTTGAGATAAAGTCTCACCAGCCTCACTTCTAAGGAACATTCTGGCTGTACTTCTTCCAAGACAGGTACATCCGTTCTCTGGCAGTCCATGGTATCTTCAGTATTTTTCTTCAACCTGTAATTCAAGTGTATCAGTTCTTCACTCTTCCACACTCATTGTCCAGCTTTGGCATATTGCAAAAAGGGCAGGGAGGGCACATGTTCTGACTTCCTCTAACCCCACAAGAGGAAGACAGAGTCACTATCAATAACCCAAGGCCTATTCCTGCAAGGCCAGACATGTTGCCTCCCTCCAGCCCTTCCTCCCAAAGTACCCACCACCTCTCTCCTGGGTTCAGTTATTCGCTGCAGTGGCCACACAGAACTCACAGATGATGGGGTTTATTAGGGAAGCACGAGCTACAATTCAAGTTCAGGAAAAATCCTCAGTCTCTCCCAGCCCGCCATCTCACACAATCTCTCCCAGCAGTGTGTGTCCCTCAGTGTCTCTCTCAGTAATGCATGCATGTCTCTTGCAAATCTCTTTCCTGCAGTACATGTCTCTTAGGGGCACGTCCTTCCTCAGCCAGCAGAGAGCAACTTCTGCCTTTAGGAGGCTTCGTTTTGAGCCCGGCAGAATGGCCAAACCAACCTATCATAACATCAGAATTCTAACCACCTGAGAGAGAGTAGGAACTTGCCAGAACATTGTTTAGTGCCACTCTCAACAGAAATACCCCAGGTGGATAACATTTACAATCAGGAGCTCCTCAGTTGCTCATGGCAAATTCCACCTCGGAGTTTACAAAGACTGATGGGTAGAAAAGCCACATTAAGTAATTTACTACACCACACATATGTATGGGGCATTTGAAAATACCATGGCTTGAGTCTTGCGCATCTTAGTCCTCAAGGTGACATCTTTGCTTTTTGATACTTTAAAGAGGTCTTTTGCAACAGATTTGCCTAGCGCAATACCCAGCAATTTCAATCCTAAGTATATACCTAGGAAAATTAAAAGCATATATCCACACAAAACCTTAGACATGAATGTTCAGAGCAGCATTATTCCTAATAGCCTGAAAGCAGAAACAGCCCAAACGTCCATCTGTTGGTGAATGGTTAAATCAAATTTGTTTTATACATACAATGGAATATTATTTGTCTACAGAAAGGAGTGAAGTCCTCATACAGGGCTACAATGTGAATGAACCTTGAAACATTATGCAAAGTGAAAGAAGCCGGAAACAAAAAGCCACATGTTATATGATTCCATTTATATGAAGAGTCAAGAACAGGCAAATCTATGGAGTCAAAGTAGATTAGTGGTTGCCAGGGTCTGGGGGAAGAGGGGAATGGGGATTGACTGCTAACGGGCACGGAATTTCATTTTGTGAGGATGAAAATATTCTGGAATTAGACAGTGGTCATGGTTGTATATAACCTTGCATATATCCTGATAGCACTAAATTATACACTTTGAAAAGGTGGTTTTTATGATTTGTGAATTATAGCTGTCAATAAAAATATAAAAAAGGAGCTTAAAAAATACCATATATGACTACAGACTAATTATATTTAAAAAAAAAAGAGGGGGGACATTTTCTAGAATAAGTTAAACATGAAATAAACTGAGGTACAGATGCCAAGGAAGTGATGACATGAAAGGAATCAAGGTCACTGGAAAGATCAGTGGGATTTAGGAAAGACAAAAATTGCTGGCATTGAGGTACTGGGAGTAGAAGAGATGGTAAAGTGTAACTGAAATTAAGAGTTGCAGTTATTAGCATTGATGAGGTGTAGGGAGTGACCAGGTGTGTAGCTGAGCTGAGAGCATCTGAGGAGAGAAGGGCACGGAACTACTGAAATCATCACAGATTGTGACCGAGTAATGTTAGAGATAACAACAGGGAGCTACCACTGTTGGTGGATGTTTGGAACAAAGAAAGGTGGATAGAGTTTAAAAGCCCAAGAGTTACGGTGGGGGGGGGGGGGGTAGAGCTCTCAAAGAGACATTGAGGAATAGTCAAAAATGACACTCTATCTCCAGGCCAAATGTACAAAGGTATGGGGAAAAAAGCACTGCAGGGAGACAGAATCCTCATGAGAGAGCCAGGCCTCGATAGATTAAAGAAGTCAGGGGAATGTTTGTGAAGAGATTGAGTATTTAAGGGATTTTGCTAATGACTGACTAAATTCCCGAGCATTTCAAGAGTTTGGGAGTAGGGAAGTTGCAGTGCAGTGAATTACTTGGTATGGCTTTTCTAACCATAGTCTTTGTAACTCCCACTGGATTATTGGGTGGGACCATACAAATAAGGTGTGTAGAACTCTTAATAGTGGGATTGGTTAATTTTGTCACTCTACCAGGCTTAAAATGAGCCATCCTAGAAGCAGAGAAGGGAATCTCACTGCCATCAAGAGGGAAGAGCTGGGAGTGAAGTGGAATGTGTCCTTGGATCTGAGATCCTTGCTCTGGACCTCCTTGGCAGAGGCGCTTGGCAGAGAGATGGTCGCGGTAGAACCAAGAGGCACAAGACAGAGTGGCGGGCTTACCTGGCTCACAGAGTGAGAAAGCTGAGCACCCTTGGGCAGGAGACTTTCTGACGGAGTGGTGTGCACCTAGATGTACCCATCAGTAGAGCTAAAAAACCTTTGTAACACTTGTCCAAGCGGGGCAGAGGCCAGGCCAGGGGCCAGAGAGGCATGTCTGAGGGCACAGTGAAGGGGAGACTCTTCCTGATTGAGCAACTAACTGTATCCTGAGTGAGTCTGTGGACCTGAATTGTAGTCTGTTACTTCCCTAATAAACCCCATAATCGTGAGTATTGTCTGTGAGTTCTGTGTGGCCACTGCAAGGAATTACCGAACCCAGCAGAAAAGCAGTGATTACTATAGGAGGGACAGTTAGTATCAAAATTGTTAAAAAGGCTGGAGGGTGGTGGCATGTCTGGCCTCATAGGAATAAGCCTTGGGCAGCTGATGGTGATTCTGTCTTCCTCTTGTGAAGTTAGAAGAGGTCAGAAGATGTTGCCTCCAAGTCCTTTTAACAGAAGCTGTGTGAAAAATTAAGGTCAGAAAATGGGGTATGCAGAGCTATATGGGATTTAGAATGCAGAAGCTAAGGGAGTGGCTGCACATCCTGGCTATAATCATTAACATAAATGAAGATAATGAATATAATAAGATTGGTCCAAAAGTAGAAAGAAAGGAATAGGAGGAGCATACCAAGATTTTATGGGACTCCCTTTCAATCCCTTCTGATGGAAGAGGAGAGGCTTGAGAACAGTCTTACGGTGTTAACTGGAAATTATTATCTCAGAGATGATTTCTTAAAATGTAATTAAATTCTTAGAGGGTCACTATGCATTGGAATCCACTCGATGGCAACAGGTTTAGTATACTGAGACCTTACTCTGAAATTGTGTAGTTGAAAGGACAAAAAAATAAGGTGTATCACTTCAAAATAGCCAAAGCCCCAGGAAATGAAAGAGAATTCTGTTTATAGAAGATTTTCAGCTGCTTTAGGTATAGAAAGAATAACAAAATTATCATTTTGTAATCTCTAACTGATTCAGGTGAGGATCACAATGGATCTAAAACCACTAAAGATTGAGGGAGAATTGTATATTTGCAAGGTTTCATAGTATCATACACCTCTTCCCCAACTCATGTTACTTGGTAGTTCCAGGGTGAAAACTCCAATGGGGAAATCTGGCTGCCATCTTAATGCAGAAATTAATTTTGGGATTCCTAAGATTGGAACAATCAGACAGTATCTGCCTTCTGAAGAATATCAGTATGAAGTAGAATCACCTAAGAAGTATTCTTACTACAGTGTTTAATCTGGACCTAATTAAGCCTGCACACCAATTTCTACTTTATAAGAAAGAAATGAACAGGATAAAGAACACAGTGGGAAAAATCCAGAAGGTGGCATATTCTTTAGGAAAAATGGCCCTACTTCTTCCACAAGTCAATGTTATGAAAGAAAAAAATGGGGAAGGCGCCCTTATTTTAGATTTAAACATGACGAAGCAATCAAATACAATGTGTGGTTTCTAATTGGATCAGGTTTGAACAAAACTGCTGAAGACTTTCAGGGACAATGGTGGATTGTCTATATAAGTATGGACTAGCTATTAGAGATTATTAGCAAATCATGAATAATTTTCAGTAGGTAGAGGAGCCCTGGTGGCACAGTGATTAAAGTGCTCAGCTGCAAACCAAAAGGTTGCTGGTTTGAACCCTCTGCTCTGCAGAAAGATGTGCCATTCAGCTTCCATAAAGATTTACAGCCTTGGAAACCCTGTGGGGCAATTGTACTCTGTTCTGTGGGGTCATTATGAGTTAAAATCTACTCAACTGCAGTAGGTTGGTTTGGTAGGTAGAATTAGCCAAGTAATTAGCAAAAAAAAATGTCCTGATACATGTAATTTACACTAAAATACTTGTTTTTTTTAATACGGAATTAAATGAAAAAATTGGAGGAAGTGTCACGTAATGAGAAGAGAACTTAGGCAGCAAGGACGCACTCATACGTTGATGGTTTGCATGTCAGTTAGTGTTCTTTAATTTTTTTTAATTGGCAGGATGGGCAGAAGCCTTAAGATACAATTAAAGAGAGAATCTTAGTGACCTTGGGTTTGGCAATGAGTTACTTGCCACAACAACAAAAGCATGATACATGAAAGAAAAAACCTGATAAAGATGAACTTTATTAAAATTCAAACCTTCTGTTTTGCAAAATATACTGTTAAGAGAATGAAAAGACAAGTCCAGCCTGGGAGAGAATATGTGCTAATTATATTTGATGAAGGACTTATTTCCAAAATATACCAGGAACCTTTAAAATTCATCAGTAAGAAAACAATTTAAAAATTGGCAAAAGATCTGAACAGACATCTCATCACATGAGATATATAGATGGCAAATAAGCATATGACAGGATATTCAACATCATGTATCATTAGGGAATTACAAGTTAAAACCACAGTGAGATTACCATTACATACCTATTAGAATGACTAAAACCATAAACTTCAAAAAACTGACAATACTAAATACTAGCAAGGATATGAAACAACAGGAATTCTCATTCATTGCTGATGGAAGTGCAAAATGGTACATCACTTTGAAAGACACCTTGGCAGCTTCTTACAAGCTTACCATACAGCACAACAATCATGCTTCTAGGCATTTGCCCAAATGAGTTGACTACTTAGTGTCCATACAAAAATCTGCACATGAAAGTTTATAATAGCTTTATTTGTAACTGTCAAAAGCAGGAAGCAACCAAGTTGTCCTTCAATAGATGAAGGCCATCGGTACATTGGAGTATTATTCATCAATAAAAGAAATGACCTAGTAGACCACAAAAAGGCATGGAGGAACCTTAAATGCATATCGCTTGGTGAAAGAAGCCAGTTTGAAAAAGCTACCTATGGTATACTTTTGTCTATGTGATATGCTTTCATCTATGTGAGCAGCAGGGAAACATTGTCTAATACAATGCTAGAAGATGAGCCCTAAAGAAAGTTAAATAATGAGTAACTGGCAGGAGTTTGTGGGTGGAACTTGAAGCCAGGGAGTAATAAGTAGGTAGAGTAGAGGGTATTTTTAGGGCAGTGAAACTATTCTGTATAATACGGTAATAGTGGATAAATGCATGTCAAAACCCATAGAACAATAAAACACAAAAAGTGAACTTTATGTAAACTGTGGGCTTTATTTTAGTTAATAATATGTCAGAATTGGTTCATCAGTTGTAACAAGTAAACCTCACTAATGTAAGATGTTATTAATAGGGAAAACTGTGGGAGATGGGATATGTATATAGAAACTTGTAGAAAATAGTCTATTAATTAAATAATAATTCTATTTTTAGGAATTTAAAGGAAATGATCAGAAGTACATAAAGAATACAATGAGGTTTTGATGACATTATGAAGCATCCATATAAGGCATCATTCAGTTTCGCCATTAAGATGATTATGTAGATGTAATCAGCTATTAGTTATAAGACCATGATATAACAAGCTTTGGGGTTTGTTTTATTTTTTTTTGTTTGTTTTTAAAGAAAAGATTTCAACAAATCCCATTGTTTTGAAATGCATATGTGTGACTTGAAAAAGGCTTATAGGAAGGTAATGCATTACATATCTGATGACGGTGGGACTGTGGTCCTTCGGTGGGACTGTGGTCCTTTTTCTTTATATGTTTTTTATGTATTACAATTTTGTTTTTATTTAATGTTTTTAATCAGTATGTATTACATTTATAAACTTCCCCCAGAAAAGAGATGAAGTTAATTCTGTTTTAAAAAGAACTTAGGTATACGTAACATCTAGACATAAAGGAAGAATACCAAATGTAAATGAATATGGACAATAATAATCTCACTTTAGTAGTTTCGCATTTATGATGATGATTGTCTTTAAAGCAGTAAAAGATCCATAAACATAAAGTGCTTTCTTTACCGTATGGATGACAGAGATGTTCTGTTTTTAGGCCTTGTACCTGATAGCAACTAATGGAACCCCAGAACTTCAGAATCCAGAGAAACTTTCCCCAATATTTCGGGATTTCTTAAATCGATGTTTGGAGATGGATGTGGAGAAAAGGGGTTCAGCCAAAGAATTGTTACAGGTGAATATGGAAATAATGACATTTTTGGAAAGAGTTGACCTTTTTGAGTAACCAACAGAACGTTTACATGGGGTAGTCCTAAAGCACTTGACTGCTAACCAGAAGACTGGCGGTTCAAACCCACCAGCCACTTCTCAGAAGGAAGGTTGGGCAATCTACTTCCGTAGTGATACCACCTTGGAAACCCAGGGGGAGGGGTCGATATGAGTCGGGTCCAACTTGATGGCACACAACAACAACATAGATCACTATTAGTAGGGCAGCTGCTGCATTTTAAGATTCATCTGCTAAGAATAAAATACTAATGATAATAATGATGAATTTTTGCATATTATCAGTTCTCAGACCTAATTACTGCTGGCAGGGGTCATTGAACTCTGTATTTCATGAATAGTAGAAGAACTTTTTAAAAGACTCTGCTTTCAGCTATAAAAAGGATATGTTGATTATGTTGGTTTATACAGATAATAAAATGTGTTGTTTATTATATAAATTATGACCCATAGAGTAGTCTTAGGGGCTTAATTGAAAGAAAATATTGAGTGTCGGATGACATTTATACCTTTCTTTTCCTCTTTCCTGGCAGCATCCTTTCCTGAAACTGGCCAAGCCACTGTCTAGCTTGACACCATTGATCATGGCAGCTAAAGAAGCAATGAAGAGTAACCGTTAACATGATTGCCATGGCTTCATATTCTTTCTTCCATTTTCTGAAAGAAGTCTGTTAATATATGAAAATTATTACTCTTTTGGGGAGTTTGAAAGAAATGGTCTGCGTAACATGGAAGATAAAAGCAAACTACTCCCCGAAGATAGCCAAGACAAGATTTCAAGAAAGAATGATGACTTTGAATTGACCCCCTTCTTTAGGGTCCAAAAGGAATTATGGACTGAATCACTAGCCTTACATCTTTCGGCACACAGCCCACCAGGGCCATTTATCATGCTTGAGATTTGCATTTTATTTTATTTTGCTGACTTTGTTGTAATAGATCCCATTCATTGTCCCCTTTGGGGTATCTTCAGTACTTGAATGACACATTCGAGTTTTCAGAGTATTTGTTTCATCTGCCAGTCATATTTTCTCTCTTCTTCATAATTTTCTTTTTCCTTGACTTGCTCCTTTTGAGTTGCATTGAGAAGTTTTTCTCATGCCTAAATTCAAGGCAAGTGTGATAGAAATTATGTAGCTCCTTATATTGGCAAAGGGGCTAGATACGGTTTAACTTTATATAGAGGTTAGGACCAGCTATTATTATATGTACTTTTTCAGTTCAGAACTTGAACTGAAGGAAGGGAAAAGTATGTGATTTTTACCTTTTTTAACAAATGTGAAAGAGTCCATTTTAGAAATTTCATAGTAGTGAGTTGTTTGGCTTTTGTTACATGTATAGAGAGAAAACTAATAATCTATATTTATAACTAAATCATTGAGTCAGAAAAAGAATCTCATTGACTATTTGTCTTTATAGTTTTGTCTTCCTTTCTACCTGTTTCCTCTTCAGACTTGGCTTCAAGAACCAAAGTGATTGATCGGTTCTTGTCCCAACGTGGGCTTTATGACTTTGGTTGGTGCCGCTACCTTATCCTCCCTATTCTCCTTCCTTTTGCAAATACATTTCTGTATATGTTGTAAACTTAGGCATAGTTGTTCATTTTTAAAAAAATTAACTCCACCCGCACCCCTAGTGGCAAATAATTTACAATGCAATAACTGTTGAATTTGCAAAATTTAGAAGTTACCTTTTCCCACTCCCCCTCTCCCATGTAAAGGAGAAGAATATTTGAGGATAGCAGACAGAGTGGGACACTTGAACCTTGAAGAATTAAAAAGGAATTGGATGACATTATATTCATGAAAAGAGAGGAGTGCTTGTTATATACAGATGCAGTAAACTATAGAGGTTTACCATAAGTCCCATTATCAACATCTTAGTAGCTGAAAGAACTTAAGTGACAAAATACTTCACTGCATGAATTCATATGTTACTTTTTTTTTCAAATGAGAATATTCAAGTAAAAAACTGGAGAAAGGAAGAAAAAAGTGAAATGTGCTTGACAATAATAATACATATTTTTATTTTAAAGATTTAAAAAAAAAGAAAAAACCAGGTCTGTGACCTGTATCTTGAATTATTAGAGTGCACTCTCCTGTCCTGTCCTCTCATCTCTCCTTGCTGCTCCTGTCATTGTTTTGTGTTTAAAGGAGGGATTGTCCCTTCTGATACACCAGCAGCCACACAAAAGAAAAAAAAAAACTGTGGTTTGGTTCTGGCAGTTCATTACCATCACTCCTAACCAATGAATTTAACACCTCCCTGCCAGCCTGTAGTAGTACAAATCATAAATAAAGGCTGTTTTGATGTTTGGGGTGCAGTGAGAACTAGCAGGGCTTTCTATCCCATTATTCCCGTAATACCTGTGTTAGGGTAATAGGCATAAGGATAGAAATGGCTGTTTTTAGGCAGGTTTTTCTTAAAAATTGGTAAAATAATTAACAAAATGTTTATCTAGAGCACTTAGGGTCTCTGTTTTCAATTGATTCTTGATTTCATTTTTCTCTGGATTATATTGGCCTTCTGTAGCTATTACTAAATTATGGAAAACAAGCCAGTTTAATTCTGGTGGAAAGCTACAGTGCCCTTTGGGTTCTAGATTGGCATATTCATTGTAAACAGTTATCTGGATGGATTATGATAAAGAAGATGCTATCAGTGAAATAGAAAACCCACTAGATGATAAGACTCTGATCATCATGACCACCTAAGAAGGCACTCATGCATAAGTCATAAAGACCATAGTCATTAAACACAGTGCCAATGCCCCATTTTGATGCCTGTGACTCAGCAAAGGGCTTTTCACTTTGTAGAAGCAGTTTGGAATTTATATTTACAACTTTTTTGACGGTTACCTGCACGTCCATTGCTGGCAACGGACTTTGTCATTAAATCCTGACTCCTAGTTTAAGGGAGCCATACTGTGGTTTATTCTTTACTTACTTGGATAAACTAACCTGTAGTTGAAATATATTTTGGTTAATTATGGAATGTGTCATTTTAAAACAAAATAATCCTAAAAGCAATATGGAATTGTGATTTATTAGTTAATTTTAAATTAAAATGTTCCGATCATGTTGAAAAAACAGTTATACCTGAATCAAGATTTATGGTTTTTTAGTAGTTGAATTCACCTTTTGTCATCACTGTAGAATGACAATTCTCTTTTAAATCTGAAAGTCGTCTCCTGTTAATAGGATAATATTATATAGTATTTATTACATGTCAGACTCCCTGGCAGTCTTAAAGTCACCTGTACCTTCATTCCTTTTGCTGCCTTTGTTGTTGTTGTTGTTATTTGCCATCGATTTGCTGCCTTTAGGACAGCTCAAACTGGGAAGCCATGAAAATGTTGACTATTTTGTCCTACTGGGAATAGTAAACAAGGGATCCTGCTAGCAGAAGAAACAAAGGCTGACACAACTCTGTCCTCATGTGTTGAGTGCCTGGCACACAGTAGGAATTCTTTTCCTTTCAACATACAAATATTAAACGGCTTCAAATTTCCCTAGTAACTACCAGTCCTAAATGAAACTGTGCCTTTTAACAAGCAATTTAAAACTACCTGTGAGTATGTCTTTGTAGGGCTCATTTAAATACATGTTTATATATTCTGTATTTTCGCTGGAAGAATTTTAGATCTGATCAGGCAGTAGCTGCAGTTAGAAAAATGAATGCTAAAGAAGTTGCATCAGTTTTGGCATCTAAACTTTTAAAAACACTGAGGATACCATATCCAAGTTCAAATGTCAAAAATTCATGTTAGATTATGGCTAAAATCCTCTAAATTAATTTCTTTTATTTTAAAAGTAGATTGTCTTCCTTGTCTCTACTGCCCTCATGATAAATATTTAAATAGTTCAAGCAGTTTTTCCACATTGCATGGGGGGGCAACAAAAAAGAAAATACATCCATACACTTTTCCTCACCGCATTTATTGAACAGTGTGGCAGAGACCCTGTGGTAGATGTAAGAGTCAGAAAAATCTAGCATTGGCCTGGCCTTCATCTTTGGTAAGAATGAGTGGCTTTTTTTTCCCCCACCCTTTTATTTTGGTAGATAGAAATTAAGTAAAAGTGGCTTATCTTTTCAAATTTTATATTGCCTTTTATTTTTAATTTAATCCTGTTCTATTTAATTGTTGCATTGATATTAACTGCTGTATTTGATGACTTTATTCAATAATTTTGTTCTTTCAGGGCTAGAAATAAACTTTTTTTTTTTAATGTTATTTTCATTTTTCTAAACTTTAATTTTTTCTTTGGGTCAGAATAGCTTAAAAGAATAAGGGTTAATATTTCTAATAGATTTTCAACTAGTATTCTGGTATTTTTAAGGATAAGTGTTTTTTAAACATGTCTGGTAATGGATTACAAAGCTCCAAATTAGAAAGATTTTCAGAAATTTGTGTCTAACAAGCATGAGCCGCCCCTTTTCTACTTCAGGTTCAGAATAAATTTTTTACAAACGTTCCTTGCTGTCAGACCTAGGGCAGCACTTCTGACCTGTTTGAATGCCTTCAATAACTTGGCCTGAAATTCTCATGTTTACCTGGCTGGTCTAATAAGGATTTAACCAGAAATTCTGTGTTAAATGCACTAAGAGACCATTTCACTTATACTACTTTAAGGCATCACTTTATTATCTAAATTTAGTTTGGAATGTTGCCTACCCCAACATGCATAATAGCTACCATAATTTTATAAACTTAATTCATGATGAGCACCTTTAAGAAGTTGATAGCTAAGTACCTTCTTGGCATAGTTCTTAAGAACAGAAAACTACATCAAACTAAGCAAGAAATTATGGTCTTGCAAAAGATGATTCAGGATCCTCATTGGTAGATAGTTTACTACTGAAAAACATAAACTACCTTTTTGTAAGGGCGGATGGGCAATGACTGCTTTTGAAATGTGTTTGTAACATTATAAAGCTGTTGAGTAGTGCTATTTCAACACTTGTATTTCCTTGAACTAATTATAGCAAATACTTAAAAGTTGATACTTTTTAAGAATTGCCTAAGAAAAGTTGAAAGATTCCAGGATGGTCAATTTGATAAGCACTATTTCTAGAAGCTTAATGCATGCTTTTCGGAAGGGAGGTTGGGCAATCTACTTCTGTAGTGATACAGCCTCGAAAACCCAAGGAGGGGTCGCTATGAGTCGGGTCCGACTCAACAGCACATAACAACAAGAATGCATGCTTTACTACTTTGATATAAAAATAAGGAATTATTTCATGCTAACTTAAATAATAAGTTTCTCTTTTGAGGAGGAGGAATCATCAAACAATGAAGGGGAAGCTTCTTAGGGTCTTTAGTTTGGGTTTTATCAAAATAATATTCATAGATTAAAAACTCAAATAATATTTAAGAAGTTGAAATAAACAGTGCTACTCCTGGGTTTAAACTTCCCCACCGCTGAGTCCTGCTCCAGAGGGGCATCAGCTTTTAGCTGTTTTTTGAAAATGGGGGAAAAGAAAAATCCACTATGGTTATCAGGTGAATTCTGATTGCAATCCAGTGGTGCAAATGGCTAAGTGCTTGACTACTGACCAAAAGGTTGGCACTTTGAACTCACTCATGCCCCTTGGTAGAAAGGCCTGGTGATCTGCTTTTAAGAGGTCACAGGCCTCAAAAATCCTGTGGAGAACAGGTCTCTGTGCACATGAGGGAAGCCATGAGCTGTGTTTTGCATTTACTAATCTCCACATTTCTAAATTACATGCTTTACAAATATTTCTTGACATTTGTATATATCTATTGTTTGATTAGTAATCCATTACTGCAAAGTTGATTCCGACTCATAGCAACTCTTACCACACAGGGTAGTACTACCCTGTAGGGTAGTAAATCTTTATGGAAGCAGACTGCCACGTCTGTCTTCTGCAGAGCAGCTGGTGGGTTCAAACCACTGACCTTTCAGTTCACAGCCAAATGGTTAACCACTGCACCACCA